TAAAAAGGTCGACAAACTGATTGTCTTTTTAGATAGTCAATCTAGCTTGCCTATTTTGGTACTCAAAATCGTCGTTTTCAATCCTCTTAGTTAAAAAAAAAAAAATTTGGGGGCCACGCCCGTATTTTCGTCCCCCACAAGATTAAAATCCTGGCTACGTCCATGTGGACGCATGCTCAGGGTTGAATTGGTTAGTATTTCAAATTGGGTATTCTGCTCAAGAATTTGCACAAGTTAGTTGGGTTTTTAATGTGGGGAATGTGAGGTCGAGACCTGTGAATGTGTTATTGGAGGCTGCGTCTTACATTCAAATTAGACAACACTGTGGGGGTTGATGTCGATGTCATTGGGCTCATTGAGTGACAGCACCAAAGATGGATCGACTTAAACTGAATGGTGATGCTTCGATGGGCTTGGGTTTGTGAGTCATTATTATCAACATGGAGAGGTTGTCGCATTTGCAGGAGTGTTGCGTTTTTTTTTTAAATGGTCACGTCAAAGATCATATTCAACACATAGACCTAACATGCTAATTATTCACCACAATGACCTTTTTAACATTAAAAGAGGAACGTACCCTTCATTTCAAAACTAAAAAGTGGGATTTCCACTTGGACCCGCCGACCCGAACTCCCCATTCAAACAGGACCCGGACAACTGCGGACTATGGACCATTCGGACCCCTTGGACCTCGTTAACATATAACGGATTTGCTTTGATTTTTTCACAAATTTGAATTTCTTCAACACATTAAAAGAATTTTTTATTTAAATCTTTGAATATTAAAGTTAAAAACACATTATCCATCAATATTATAAGTAAAAAAACTCGAATTTAACCAAATAATATGAAGAAACCTTTGAATATGGAGATAGAGAAGGAGATGGCTGAAAAAACCTTAAAAGGATGGAGAAGATGAATAAACATTGAAGAACAAGAAATTGCAAGATTTTCAAATTCTCAACGTTCAAAATGGAGGTAAAATGGGTATTCTCATTTCTTTAAATTTTTACTTTTTTTGTACTTAAAATTGATCAAAGACCATTGTGGAAAAGTGGTCGGATCAACCGGTCATCTACCACCATTTCCTCTTTGCAGGAGGGGTTTGCATTAGCTAATGAGATGATTTTACTAATAACGGAAGTTGAGTGTTATTCAAAGGATTTCAATTTGTTCTGTAAGCTTCTCTTTTGTGTGATATTGTGGTTGAACTCGAATTTATATAATCTTTAGTTGTTTCAAATGAAAAAAAAAAAAAAAAAAAATCAAGTAACTTTGTCTCCATTTGAAAATTTATAAATAGTTCATAAATAGGAATAGAGTAGTGGATTCCACATAAAATGTGGATAATATTGAATGGTAATTCTAAATGTAGGATTGAAATTAATGTTCGATTTGATTGAATAAATATATATCAAATTATAATTTTTTATACAAACGGAGGCTTTATTTCAAGCTTAGCCAAACACAACTCTACATATACGGATATTACTTTTGACAGCCCAACAGTATTTGAGTAATGCAACATTAAATTACTTAATAATTTATGACTTATTAAAAGTTGGCGTTCAAAATCACAAAGGCTCCAAATCTAATTAAAATTGAAAATATAGTCATTATTGGGTTCCACTCATCTAATAAAAGTCAACAATAACGACTAATTTTTCAATTTTAATCCAATTTTAATCTCTACCAAACATCCTCTAGATAGGATTATTCACTCACGGTATTCCGACAACTTGCAGCATAACCAAGGGCAATTCCATTTGTACATAAATGGATGATAATAGAGGTTGACAACTATTTTGACAACTATGCTACATGTATCGAAATAGATGATAATGTGGATGATTGAACACTCAGAATAAGAGGGCAATTTTAAAAAAAAATTAATCATATGGACCCGCATACATGTGAAAGGTTACATAGAAATGGAATTGCCCACACATATAACTCCAAATCAGTACACATAAAAAAATTCATCTGAATTTCAACTAAAATTACAAAAGCCTTTACAAATTCGAAAAACCACACATATGCTCTCATCGCTGTCTTTTTTCTCTTCACCGGAATCCCAATAAACCCAAAAATTAAAATTTCTGAACCAGAACTCTAGAAAATTAAAGCAAATGAGCGAAGAGTTGAAGAGAAGCGGCGGAGGAGCACTGGTGGCTCCGTCGCCGGCGTCCTCTGATGGTCGAAAGTCCTCAACTGGGTCTACCGCTGCAGGCAAGAAAGTCATCATAAAGAGCGCCGACATGAAAGAAGACATTCAGAAAGAAGCTGTCGAAATTGCCATAGCTGTAAAATTGTTTTCATTTCACTCAGAATACGAAAAAATACGCAAAACCCGCTAATTCGTTTTCATTATTTTGGGTTTTTTTTTTTTACACGGATATCCATTTCTTGAATAGCATAGGTTTTACACAGAATCACATATAATTATGTGTTTGTGTATGCAGGCATTTGAGAAGCATAATGTAGAGAAGGATGTAGCAGAGCACATAAAGAAGATGTTTGACAAGAAGTATGGGCCTACCTGGCATTGTATTGTGGGCAAGAACTTTGGTAAATCTCCCTTTACCACTGAGTTTTCGTCGTTATTTTCCTATTTGGAATTCTTGTTAATGATAAGAGTTAACAGTAATTGATTCTTGAAAAATAAGTATATTGACTAAAGGAGTGATCTTTGTATTGTATCTTAATATATATTGTGGTATATGATGTTAGTTTTCTTTTACCTCTGATCTATTGATTGTTGTTCAATACTTGTTTGGTTATAGCACGAGTCTTATAAATACCTAGTTCGAAGGTTGAAACGGTTAATTTTCTTGCTATTCTGGGGTATTTGTATCTGGATAGATCTGAACTTGTATAGAATGTTGCTTGGTAATATGGAATTCTAGCCTTCGCATTAGAATTAGAAAGGATTTTGATGAGGATCCAATTCCATGCAATTAGACATAGCATAACTTTTTAGTGGATTTACAGAAACTGGTTGTGTTTTCTAAGTTTCAGATCAGTGTGAAACGAGGAGTTCACTTAACCTCGACTCTCGAATGACTGATAATATAGAGCACAATATGGAAAAGGAAGCACAGGACTAAATAGCGTGCGTATAATATGTTAGTTTTCATTGTTTGTCTTAATACATTTTTATGTACATATGCGCCTCGAGATTTCAAGATATGTTATGTGTATGCAGTCTATTAAATATCCTATCTGTATTCACATGGTAATCCGAAACACACTGGACAAGCTGAGTACGTAGATAGTCAAGTTACTCATGCAACAAACTGTGTGAGAGAATCAAGTCGTGGTCACATTGTTCCCTATAAAATTCTTGTGATCTAACATGAAAGGCAACAAAAGGTTAAAGCGGCGCCTTTCCAAAGTAAAAAAAATTTGAATGAGTGAGCCAGAAGTTTTTCCTCTATCAACAAGAGCAATCGCGGGGTCTAAGTTACCATTACCGATAAAAGCAAGTACTGGGTTATGTTAGTTCATGAAGTTGATTTCACAAACTCGGCAATCAATTTATTCCTGCTTTAATTTTTTTATCAGAGCGACAAACCTAATTCATACGCATCAACAAAGACATGCTTCTGAACAGTGAAATATTATGAGGCAAAAGTGAATATGGCTTACACGTGGCGGCTGGCAATTGGGACACATTAGGAGGCTCCAGTAGAAGATTCAAGAACAGATCAAAAGCGGATAGCAATTTGCACCTTTATTTAGTTAGGTTTCCAGATTCAAACTGGTAGATCTTGTACATCATATATGTCAAAAGAGTGATGCAATTTCAATAGAACAAGTTACAAGAGTGAGGGATAGACCAAAATGAATATGGCATGTTATAGTTGTTGGGGAGCTAGTGGCTTTAGATCTCCCCATACATCTAGCAATGAACAGAGCTGACTGGCGTAGAAGGATTCACGAGCTGACCCGACGTTTACTGAGAATGAAGCATAGCAGCATAGTTTGTTGTTGTCTTAAAAATTCCAGGGTATGAATACTTGTTTATGGACTCATGATGTAAATGCTAATATGTTTTCTCGAGCTGTGAAATTGTGTCACTGTTATTAAATGTTGTTAGCCTTAATTTAATACGCTCGAGCAGACTTTAGTTCCATTTATTTTAGAGACTTAGCAAGGAACATATACATAAACTGATTGAATAACTGTGCTGTAGATGTCTCTTACGAGTATATGAAGTTCAGAGACTCTAAATTTGGTGGATTTCATTGGCTAATTGTACATATTAATCTACGACCTCAACATATAAATTAGGAATATGAACTATGCAGTGCTGGCCAGGGTACGTGCTTCTGGAAAAGAGCTTATTGGGGGGAATTGAAGGACTTTGCAGAAGAACTGGAAAAGCTTTCAGGTCCAATTTCAGAGATAATATTTGACTAAATATGAAGTATAGGAGGAGAAATCACTAGTCTCAAACTGAAAAATAACACATCAGTACTATACCTCTTTGGAGCAAAAAGTCTTCTTACCTGATAATCAACTTATAGTTTAACTCGTGATGTTTTGTCAGACTGTAGTTGCTGCATCTTATCCAAGTTCAATCATATAGTTGCTATTTTATTATTTATTTATTTTATTTTATTTTTTGTCTCTTTAACTCCCGGGATGAATAAAGAAAATTAATTTTTTTGGCAGTATTTATTTCACCAAGTAGTGCCAGACTACCAGTAAAAGCTTTATCAGGTTCTATTTGCTTAAAATCGGAAAAATGGTATTATTCTTTTTTAAAAGGAATGTCATTTTTAACATTGAAGAATACTTTTTGATGCCTCAGTCACTTCACATAGGTTCCATCTTTCCTGAGCACATGACTTAAGAATTCCATTCTTCATTTTATTCTATTCTAATGAAAAAATGAAAATGGCTTGCCATCTCTACCTCTGTACAATGTGCACCCATATTCCCATTGTATTGGTTATTTGTGAATATGCCTTGCTAGCACGTAGTTCATTATACTCCTAATGGAGGAGGGCACAAAATTCCTCTTATTTTCTTTCGCATATTATTTTCGATTCTTTCTGTTTGCAAATTGCCGTAATTTCTATTGTTATTACCGCGTGTAGCCTTTGAAAAAACTCGTGTTGTTCTCTATTATAGTGAAAACTGCAGTGACAAATGGATGGATGTAAATCTGGCATTGAGATGAGAACTGATACAAGTACAAGTTTACTTTGCTCGTTTTCTAATTTTTATTTTTAATTATTACTTCTCTCAAAAGTAGGGTTTAGGGCTTAATCCATAACATCTATTTCTTCATTATTTTCCTCTCAAAATAATTTGTAGCGTGAATATTGCATGTGTTGTAACATGATCTGTGCATTGTTTATTTCCTAGTTATTTTACTTGAAGATGGGTGAGGGTTGGGAATAAAATTTCCTAGTATTATTTGTTTTTTCCTGTATTTTCACTATGTTGCTTGTTCGTATTGATTAACTTAAGAATAAAGCTAGTTGTACAACCTTTGTTGACAACTAGTTTGACAACCCATGTGTTGTCAAGATCTCAGCCAGCAATTCAAAAATAGTTTTTTAAATGAACGGATATATTGTTTGACAAGTCACGGGTTGTAAAAGAAATTGTAAACGGAATTGTACAAGTAGCATGACTCCTAACTTAAACAACTTTGTTCTTGATAATCTATCTTGGAACATGCATTGACCTCGACTAATTCTCTTGTTTTTTGTTGTTGCATAGGGTCTTATGTGACTCACGAGACGAACCACTTTGTTTACTTCTACTTGGATTCAAAGGCTGTTCTTCTATTCAAATCTGGATGAGTTGTACGGTTATGACAACCAATGATTGATGATAACAACGCTGTGGCTCCCCTATATGTATATTTTGAAAACCTTATTACATTTTGAATGTGGATTGGATAGTATTAGGCAATATTAAGAAAGAAAAAGAAAAGTTAAGGTTTTGTCCATTATACTGTTCAGTTTGTTGATCTTGTCTAGTAATTGTATATTTGGTTTGGTATGACTTGTGTCTATACTCTATGGAGCTTAGTTCCACATGTTTTCGTGGTTATGTTTGCTTGTTAATATCTAGTGTAAACAACAGAGTGGCAATACCTAATGGAGAGAGTGATATGAATTCGGGTACTTTCTAAGATCTTTCATTATATCTATCGATGAACTGAATGGTGAGACAGAAGGATTTATGTGATTGATGTCTAATTTTTTGAGAACGATGCTTAGTCTTTTGTTGTTATTGATGTTGTGATTGCCTTTGGAGAAAACTGCATGTTTGCTTCCTACCGTGTGGTCTATGTAGCGAGTTGGCTCTAACTTTTAATTCTGGACAATTTGATCGTCAACGTTTTATTGTTGTTGTACAATGGTCTCTAGACGAGGGATATCGTCTAAATCTTATTCAAAACTTGTCGTTTATCTTGAGCATTAATTCTAAGTCGGTCATAATTGGGTTTTGAGAATTGGTTCGTATAGAGTTCAATGTTTTTTGGTTGTTGCCTTGTCCCTCCTCACCCTAAGAGAGGATGGAGTTTGCTTTCTATTTCTTTTGTATTTCTTTTTTATCGGTTGCTGCCTTGTCCCTCGTCACCCTAAGAGAAAAATGGAGTTTGCTTTCTATTTCTTTTGTATCAGTCGCGTGTTTATTACACTCAAGTGGAAGAGAAGTGTATGACAGAAGTAGTTAATCATGCTTATCGAACATGTTTAATTGAATCATATGAACCCCTCAGAAAGAACATCATAAAGAAAATGAAATACCATCATAGTTGCAATGAAACAAGATTGGTATACTAACCAAACGAAACCACCACCATCAAATTGTCATTGTTTCAAAATTTCAAACTCATTTAGGAAATATCAGAAAGTAACTACTACATTACAGATTACCCAAGAAACCCTTGATAAAATCTTAGATTCTCCATTTTGTCCGCCTGTATTTTAGGGTCCCAAAAACAATGGATTCTTGATACTGGGAAACCAAATCCCATGGATCTGATATGACAACAAACCTCTTTGGCTTCATTCTAGGGAGCAAAAGAACAAACCCCAAAAAGGATGATGATATCATAGTCATAACCAAAATGTACAAGGGCAAAAGTGGAAAAATAATTTCAGAATGCAAAGGCATTTGCTCCATTTCTAGGCCCTTTGCCACTTCGATTAGTAGAAGAAGATGACGACGATGATGATGAGGATGAAGACGACGAGGGCACTCGAGGTTTTATAGCAGCCATTGAACAGTTGTCTCTTCTACTCTTCTTTACAGTTTCTTCTTCATCCATGAATATTTGCCTGCACCTGCACTCCACACTACAAAAAGCTCTGTCCCCTCTGCATCAAACAGCGTTTTTCATAATATTTATTAGTATATTATTTCACTCAAATCAAAGCCCTACTAACTAACATAAATGATATGTATATTTGCTATATTAAATTAGATACGTTGATGAAGAAGACAATAAGTTCAAATCTCGTCCATTATTATATACTAGATGACCAAAAAAAAAAAGTTCAAATCTTATTCATTATACTATGAAGTATTTCTGTATTTGTATACCAAATATGATTTTTTTCTTTTATTTTGTGTGTGTGTCTAATGCATATATGAAAACTTATTACTGTTTCTGTGTGATGAATATAGGGTAGGTTAAAGCCTGGCTCTTGTTTATAAGTAGGTTTTTGAGATTATTAACTAAAAGTTTACTTACTTGTACATGTAAATGTCTTTGCCAGGCAAGAGTTTCTGTTTGCAGAGAAAACAATAGTCAAGAAATCCAGAATTCGGAAGAGTATTTCTTCTTGAAAACCCACAAGGAGATGAAGGAGTAGTAGGAGAAGAATTAAGTGGTTTAATCATTTTTCCTTTGCTAATAACTTGAGAAGCTTTTTTAGAAGTATTCTCTTGGGTTTCTAGTAATACACTCAGTCCCACCATCTCATTGGTGGAGGCGGTACGGCGGAAGGCGGAGAGAGGTGGCAAAACGCAGAGGAGATTTTGAGTGATGAAAAGAGGAGGATGATAAATATAGAAGAAGGGATAGCTCTGAATGGTACGTGGGTTTTGCTAAGGTGGGGCGTGGTGTTGGAAAATTTTGCTAGAGGTCATTCGACTTATAATTTTTATTTCAAATTGGTCATCAAACTTTAATTTATTTCAATTTGATCAGCTAACTTATATTTTTATTTCAATTGACTATTGAATAGGTAATTGTAATCAAAACTACAAAAATTACAGAAAACATTTTTGTTCAATATTTACATGCACGTCATTTGCCACTTTAAAAAGACTGCCCCTTTTAATAGAAGAAGATAGATTCGTAATTTGAATATAGATCTCTATGGCAAAAAGTATAAGTTGAATCACGAACTCTATCGGCCATGTTGTGAATCATGTAAGTTTTTGAAAACTGGTATATTATAAATAGCTAAATAGAAACAAAAGGGTAATATGCGATCATGAATTCGATTGGTCAATTACGAATTCCACAATTTTTTTTTATAATAGTTATGCCGAAATTGTCAAATTGAAAATAAATAAATAAACTAAACTAAATAAAGTTGAGTGGCCAATGTAAAACAAATAAATAAACTGAATGACATCTAATGAAATTTTCCCTAGTGGGACCCACAACAAAACATTAATGTAGAGAAAGAGAGGGGGTGTGGGAGCCACCTATATAACTTGTAGTGCTTGTTAAGAGCCACGTACCCTTTGTATAGCTATCAATTGCAGCAATTTATTTACAATTTTTAATTAATTTATTTTTTGCACTTTGTTTTGTCGTTTAGTGAAGTTTTTACTTAGGTATTTTTACAGCCCTTAATGGCACTTTATTGCAATCGATTTGATGTATTTACTTTTACCAAAGATAGTGGGGTTGATAGCGAAATTGAGCCTAAATGACAGCGGTTGAAATTGGAGTGGCATGCCTTGTATCCTATGGACAACATCCATTATTCTTTTGTGCACTGTTTTTTTGGGATTGGTGGAGTGTGTAGACTATTTTACTAGGGTTACTTATCGGTACGTAAAAAATTGGGTTTTAAATGAGTTGGTTCAACGTAGTACTAAAACAAACAAAAGCTTCAAACTCAAACTTCACAGTCGTGCATGTGTCGAATCTTTGATTGAAAATCATAAATTTGATATGTAGGTGGTGCAACTAGCGTATTGACATAGGAAAAACCGCCATATCGAGTAATAAACTACTCTATCTTGATTGCTACTAGTACTTGAAGTAGACGAGTGAAATGTATGTAATTTCAATTTATTCATTTCAACTTTCTAAGTTGGTTTTGAATGAGTTTGAAAAGAGTCGAACTCACGTTCTTCTTGTATTTCTCAAAAAAAAAAAAAATTTAACCTCGAGTTTTTTGCAAATTTATTATGTTTTGTATTTTGTCAAAGCATATTCAAAATGAAGGACCCATATGAAAATTTCTCGAGAAAGCTATCTTATGTCAACATATTTTAAAATTCTTCTAATTAGACGGAGTATTTTTCGGAGATTATCCAAACATGCACACAAATAACTTCTTAGTTTTAGAAGCACGTTTGACTTTTTAAAAATCCTGTCAAACGGACCAAAATGTCCTAGAAACTAAGGGCGGAATGCAAAACAGCAGCACCATAAGCCATGGTTTTTGTACCAAATAAGGTTGCCCAAATCATCTTGTCTGTTTCGTATTTTGTTTGCTTTCGTAAGGTAAATTTGACCGTAGAGAGATTGTTCAATATGACAAAAACTTAAATTGACAGTTCAGCCAAAAAATTGGATAAACATTGATCTGCTAGTTACAAAGATAAACTATCGAAGTTAACACGACATTAAGCAATCAAAACGTTCGATTATGACTACGAGTATGATAGTCAGATCTCGTTAATATCTTTTCTACGTCTTGTTTTTTTTCTATATTGAAAGTCGAGTTTTCAATCTCTTTGACTTTAGTATTTTTACGATTCCGTTGATAAATTGGTAGAAGTTCATCCTGATCAACTTAATAGATGTTATAAAGATGATTTTCGATCATACTATTATACATCACACACCAGGTGAGTTAACATTATTTGCTTGGTTTCTAGCACAGCGTTGTATGCGTTGAGAATTCGAAACTCTAATTTTATATTATTGAGAGCAATAAAATCGTAGAAAGAAAATATATAAGCAAGAACTCGCAAGATTTATAAAGGTTCATCTCAATGCAAGACTACACCATCTTTCCCGACTACAATAATTCGCTATAAAAAGAAGTTTACGAGAAAAAAATCACACATTCTATTTTCTCTAACATCTCTCTTTTCACGATTATATATATCTAAATCTTAATGAAGGCTCCCTATTTATAAGAAAAATCATGACAAAATCGAAACTGCAAGCATGAAACTCGAAAACCTCGATCTGTCTATTGGCAATTATTAGGCTGCACAACTTGACAATTTGTAGAGATTAGTCAGAGAAAAAGATAATTAAATATTAATATAGTTTTGCATTAGGTACCCAAAATTCAAACAAGGGACTATAAGATATCACAGTTTGATAATCAAGTGGCATTACTTCTTCAAACACATTCATGAAATTAGGTAAATCATTTGAATTTAGTAGAGAATAAGGATTTGAAGTTTACTTTATGGGTGTTTGAGAAATATTCTTTAGCAAAGCCTATAAAGCAACACTTATATTTTAAACTTCGCTAAAAATCAATTTTGAATGTCCTAATCGTTGCTGCCAAAACTTTTACCTAACAATACAGAACGTGAAAGATAAAGGAAATAAGCAGGATCTCAAATAAAGTTTCTAATACTTGAAACGGAGGTGACGAGAGGCCGTATTATCTTCTCTCCAACACAAGCTATTGCGTCTAAAACGTGTTAGACCTCGA